AAAAAAAAAAACAAATGACATGACTTTAATATAGGTATGTTACACTTCAGACCGTATGGATATGTCCTTCAGGAGAATAAGTTACTGAATATCCTCAAGGCACAAAACCATCATATTATGGTGTAGTCTCATGGAGGACATCCTTCTCAAATCCCACAAACTGGCTTCTTATTTCTTTATGTAGAATGAGTGGACTACCTCTTCTTTTCACCTTGCTAGATGGATTCAGGTACAATATTGCATGGTCTATAAGTTGTAGATCTTATAAAATCATAGTGCGTCTTATATGCCAGTGTATAAGAAAAGTATATCTTAATTCCTCCTTTCTGAATTATATATCTTATGCTTAAGTAGATTTTCTGTACTGGGGCACATGGTAGTGTATTCGGTTGAGGCACTATGCTATGTGTAGAAGCTGGAAGGTCGCGGGTTTGATTCCTGATGGGATTATTGGATTTTTCAATTGACCTAATCCTTCCAGCGGCACTGTGGCCCTGGTGTCAACTCAGCTTCTGACAGAAATGAATACCAGGAATGTTCCTGGGGCATAAAGAGCAGCTGGTTTGTAAGGCTTACAACCTCACTGCCACCTGCGAGCCGATTGTGTAGAATCTGTGGGAACCTCGACCTCTCATAACGCTATGGTCCTCCACAGCCTATTACAGGATAGCTTTTACCTTTACATTTTCTGTACTGGGAAATGCAGTATATCCAAGTTCTTTATGCCTTGGTGAGTGTTAAGAGCTTCATATGTAACATGGAAGAAGGGGACCTCATTATGTCTTGAAATTCTGAGACCTTCCACCTCTGTATGTGTGTGATCCTATTGAGATTTGCTCAAGTGTATGCAGCTGTGCCCCATGTAGCCTGTACTGGTGTGTTTTCTCGGGTCAGTGCTAGCAGTTATACATGCCTAAGTTTATAGAAAGATTTAAGAAACTAGGAGATACAGATTAATATTACAGATAGTTCTTACGCCCTTTTCGGTTCTGCCCAACCATCTTATGTGGTCAAACCATTGTAGTTGTTATTCTTCAAACTGTTACAAAATTTTGGATTCCACTTTCTTTCATAAAAATTTAATTTGTAACTGTATCCTGTCTTGTTTTTCCAGTAGTACTTTTCAAAGTTTCATGGACCCGCGCGCGCGCACACCCACACACACACACACACACAATATGCATGTGCATGTCCAGACTAATTGAAATGCCTCCGAACAAGCGGAGGGTATGACCATAGACTGGAATTAAGGAAATTTTGAGGCTGAAAAGCCAGCACCGACCATAAAAGAAGTAGAACAAGCTATCAAAAAATTGAAAAATAATAAAGCTCCAGGAATGGATCTCGCCATGGCAGAATTAGTGAAATATGCAGGCCCAGAATATGCTAAGCACTTACATCAGCTAATAGCTAACATATGGATAACTGAAATAATCCCAGAGGAATGGAACCTAAGTATTGTATACACTATCCATAAGAAAGGCGATGTCATGGTATGCTCTAACTATAGAGGAATTAGTCTGTTGTGTATAGCATATAAAATATTTTCCAACATTCTATTTAACAGACTCTCTCCCTTTGTGGAAGGCATAATTGGGGATTAACAATGTGGGTTTTGTCAAGGAAGATCAACTAACGATCAGATTTTCACTATTCGCCAGGTCCTTGAAAAGTGTAATGAATTCCAAATTGAAACACATCTTTTCATCGACTTCCAATCGGACTATGACTCCATAGATAGAGATAGTCTTTTTCTGGCAATGGAAGAGATGCAGATTCCACAGAAGTTAGTCGCCTTAGTCAGAACCACTATGAGAAAGACCCGATGCCAAATTAAGATTCAGAATATGTTGTCCAGCCCTATAATAACTAGAAATTGAGTTTGACAAGGGATTCCCTAGCCTGCCTTTTGTTCAATATAGCATTAGAGAAGGTAGAGATGCAGGCATCAACACAAGGGGAACTATATTCTATAAGTCAGTTCAAATTTTGGCATTTGCAGATGATATTGATATAATTGGTAGAACACAAAAATCTATGAAAGAAGCTTTTCTTAATTTGGAAAGAGCAGCAGAAAAAGATAAATCTACAAATTAACCAAAATAAAACAAAGTACATGTCAGTAACCAAGAAAGACTGTGCTAATGGACCTGCATATATTGAAATTTGCTCATATAAATTTGAGGTTGTATGAAGTTTTACTTACCTTGGATCAGAAGTTAACTGTAAAAATGACATCAGTGATGAAATAAAAAAGCGTGTACTTGCAGCAAATAAATGTCTCCATGGCCTTAGGAAACACCTGAAATCCCAATTAATACCCAGGAAAACCAAAACTATGGTGTATAAAGTATTTATAAGATCAGTGCTATCTTATGCCTCTGAGACCTGGCCACTGTCAAGATCGGATGAAAGACTATTAAGTATATCTGGAAGGAGGATCCTGAGATATATCTTTGGACCAGTGGAAGAAAATGGAATATGGAGGAAGAGGTACCATGAGCTATACAAACTATTTAATGACCCAGACATTATTGGATTTATAAAGGTGAAAAAACTTGAATGGGTTGGACACATAATATGTGCTAGTGAGAATAGAACAATTAAGAAAATACTTAATACTAAACCAGAAGGAAATAGGAAAGTGGGAAGACCAAGGTTGAGATGGGAAGAATGTGTGTGGCAGGACATGAGAATTTTGGGTGTAAAGAACTGGAGGAATGTAGCATTGAATGGAGAAGAATGACGAGCAGTCCTGAGGAAGGCAGGGGCTCACAAAGGGCTGTCGTGCCAGTGATGACAACGACGACGATGATGTCCAGACTCATACTGGGGAGGCGCTCAGATTAAGAAATGATTATTTCTGTGAGTACTGTTAGTGGCAGACATTATGGAATAAAGAGTTCTGGGCCGTGCCATAGCTCAAGTGGTTAGTCGCTGGCTTCCCACCGTGGTGGGCCGGGTTCGATCCCGGGTCATGTCAAGTGGGATTTGTGGTGGACAAAGTGGTGCTGGGGCGGGGTTTCTCCGCGTTCTTCAGTTTCCCCTTCCAATCTTCATTCCACCAAATTCTCCATCATAATCACCAGGGGCAGGCCAATCAGTCGCTGCCGTGCCGAGTGGACCCAGTTGGACTGCAACCCCCACCAAGCGAATTAAAAAAAAATGGAATAGAGACCTGACGGGCTGTATATGGGACAAGAAGGCTGGAAACATGTGGCTAGGTAATGGTAATAGTGAAGGTAAAGGTAAAGTTGTCCCTGTGCTTAACTAGTTAAGCACTGTGCCATGATTGCATACGGGGGAGTGGATGTATAGATCCACATTCTCTTGACCCCGGCACTAGCTGGAGGTGAGTGGTCAGCTTCATGCACCAGTCACTTTACCCCCTGGGAAAGAGCCCTCGGTACCCAATTGGATAGGAGGTTGTGTGGACCCCAGTTGCCTTCTCTACAGAAAAAAATGGTACATACTCCAAAAGAAGAATGCAGATTTTGTAAGGGTTTCAATGCATAACTTTATTAATTGAATGTTGTAACATTAGGAGTTGATGTATTGGGATAGATTTGAAATCTTCATGGATATTGATGACTGATGATGAATTTCTGTTCATTGTGGTTTTGCAGCATATGAAGTGCTGTCAGATCCAGAGAAGAGGAAGAAGTATGATCAATTTGGTTCTTCAGCTTTCGAGAATGGAGGAGGTGGAGGCCAGGCTTTCCACTTCAACTTTGATGACATATTCCGCAACTTTGAAGATGATTTTGGGCATAACTCTTTCCACTTCAGAGAACATCCTTATGAAGAACAAGGACACAATTTTTTTAACTTTGAAGACTTTTTTCAAGAGGTGAGCAAGTCTGCAAGTAATTATGTTGTGAAGGTAAAGTTGTCCTTTGCTTAAGGAAGTGACAAGTCATGATGACTTGGAATGGAGGTATAGCTTCTTGCATTCTTAACCTCGGTACCAGATGGAGGTAAGTGGTAATCTTCACACCTCATCCACTTTATCTTTGGAGAAATAAATTTTAGTACTCACTGGGCAGGAGGATGGGCGGGCCCCGGAGTCAGTCTGAATACTCATACCCTTGGCAGGAATCAAACTGAATCCATGGTCATCCAATATACAGGTATAACCTAATCACTATTCGAAGTGAGTTATGCCATCTACATAATTATGATATGCCACCAACATGATCTTATGCAGTCTGTAAAAATTCTTCAACATTATCTTATTCTTCAAATATTATTTTTGTTCTTCACAAACACAAAGAATGTTTTCATAAGTTACCATTTTCCGACATCTTATTTTTAGTATTATATCAGTATCTATTTTTCTCAGTGAATGCAACGCATTGTTTTATAAGCAATGCTCTTATTTTGGACAGGGTCCTTAGTGTTATGAACATTGTTTTGGAAACCTGAGCTAGGTGTGAGGAAAGGTTTCTGTTCAGTTAAAAAGAGTTGGTTTCAGTGACTAGACCACTTCCCTCTTTCCTGCCTTGAATGAGGCAATTTTTTTTCACAATTCCTATTCACCTGTACCAGGCTTTGGCTTTTGCCCCCATTTGTGGTCTGAGTGACAATCTGCCATGCACCTGCCTGTGTCATCTGTCCTCACCCTACTTCATCCCTGATGCTGGGAACCTCATGTTCTTTTGAAACATGGCTATCCTACAAAACTGCATCTTATCACAACCTACAAGGCCACAATCTGAGCAGATGTTTGTGTTCCAGGAGGCTGAGCCATTCATGCATAATCATTATGGTTATGAAGCTCATGGATTTGGTGATGGTAGTTCTTTCTTTGGCACTCATTTTGGAAATGCTCATCAAGAAAGAAGAGTTCACCAGAGTTCAAGTGGACGATCATGCCGGACAGTGACACAGCGAGTTGGCAACATGGTAACAACATACATGCAGTGTTCCTAGGAATATTGTGATATGGAAGGCAGCAAGGAAACCATGTTTACAACCATTAATTTTTATGTAGAAGTTTTAATACCTTTCTAAAGTATGGTTATACCATATGCTTATGAGATATATGAGGAAGAGTCAGTAAATAGGTCACAAATGGATATAAAACGTAAAACATGTGATATTCCAACCTGGGAAGAACATTTATTTCTTGATATGCCCTCCACCAACATTGATACACTTTGCTCATTGCTTTACCAGTGCATTGAAACTTAAAGCAGAGAACTCTTTGGACTGTTGTCTCAGCCACCCCAGCATCACTGTTTCAATCTCTTTGTCATCAGCGTAATGTTTGCCACCCAATTATGAACTGCTTTACATGATAAACGCTTCCCACCATAAACAGGAAACATTTCTTTATGAATATGCTTTGCACTGAGTTCTTTTTGCCCACAAAAGAGAAACACAACAGAACATTGCTCTTTGGTAGTACAATCCTCAAGCCGGTCACAGTAGCCGAGCGGTCTAAGGCATGCACTGTCTTCACTCGCTCGGAAGCCAGGATCGTGGGTTCGAATCCCACTCAGGGCATGGATGTTTGTGTGTGTTTTTCTGTGTTTGTCTAAAGGTAGAGGCCTTACAACGAGCTGATCACTCACCCAAGGAGTCCTACCGAATGTGTAAGATCTAGTAAATTGAAGTGAAACGGAGAGTTTCATGGAGGTAGGCCTAGGCCCCAAATTGGGGGCTGTAGCGCCATAGAAAGAAAAAAAAGTACAATCCTCAAGCATGGTCGCCATTTTGACTACTGAAATTAGTCTCTGAACATGTGCGTCTGCTACCTAGACTCCCATGAAGCTGGACTTTGCTGCTATCTAGTGATACATACAGAACACCTGTTACATCCGTTAAAACTGTGTTACTTCCATTTGTGACCTGTTTACTGACTCCATTGTAGAATGGAGGAAGCTGTTCATTTTTAAAATAACTATATATTTTTTCCAAAACCTGAAAATAGTGTTAAGGATAGTGATTTGCCATCTCTCAAGGTATGTAATGTTCACAAGTCTGAAAGTGCCATACAAAATGATGAGATGGACAAACATTGGCTACACTGAAGAAAGCAGTCTTCTGGGATTTGGCACCATGTATATCTGGTGTTAACACGGTGCCAAATCCCAGAAGACTGCTTTCTTCATAGTCACCGCCATGAAAGCCTCAAATCTTGCATTGGCTATACTACTTAATTCACCCTAAAATGAAAGAAGGCTATCAAATTACAAGAATTCCGTGTTTCACTGCTGACACAGAGAGTTTATATTTCAAAATGGACAGTTACGAAAGGTCTAATGAGTAGTAAATAATGGACATATACAGTGGAACCCCTGTTTAAATGTGCTCAAGTTAGGATTTTCTCTCATTTAACATTCATTACAATGATTCTAAATCAGTAATCTTAATTTTAAATGTCCTTTATTTAAGAGTTTCCACATTTTAGTGTTCAGATCCACTGTTACCCAAAGAAACCTTAAATGGGGGTTTAGAATTTCCACTGTATTCAGTAAACAGGAGAAACAAAGAGATGTGCCTTCAGATTAACTTGTAAATATGTATATTATTATTATTTACAACATGCAGGGCTTAAGTTCAACATTAGAGCAATAAGTTGTAGGACCAGATGCTTTAAATTATTCAAGCTTTATATACAGTGTTTGAGTTTAATATGAAGATGAGAATTTCATATGTCATTGCACATTGTACAATTGAAAAGTTTCCACTCTGGCTGAAATAATTCTCATAGCATTTAATAGTGCTGACTCATCCAGTGTATTCGTAAAGTGTAACTTTTATCAATCTTAAATTTTTGTTCAGAAGAGTTTACACACACAACTTTTCTTTTAATTACTGCCTTCAGGGATGTGACGCCATGTTGTTTCCACTCAACTACAGTGAACATTGATACAGCATGTTCCTTCAAAACATTTATGCCTATTTATCATATTACACAGCATCACATCTCAGGAGACAATAATTTTGCTACTTGCCATTGTGAGAACTTCACACTTAAAACTGAGTCATCTGAATTGTTACGTTATACAAGTATATTCTAATAGGACATGAGTCTCTTATGCATAAGTATTGTCCAGTTGGATATCTGTCATGAGGTCAGTGACATATATAGGCATAAATGTGACTATATGCAGGCAATAAAATTAATTTAAATGTATTATATTGTGTGAGAATGTGGGTGAGATGTATATAAATGTAGGTGTGGTGTGTATTCTGTCTGTATATCTTGTTTGTTTTGTTTGTGTTTGATATCTTGTGTAGTTGGGTAAATATGAACACTATTAATATGAGATACCTGTGTTGTTGGTATAGTAAGAATTATATGCAAAACACAACAGGATGCTATAATCAAAGGCTCAGTGCAGTTTAATGGCAGGAGGAGAAGTTCAGATCCTGCTTCTGTGAATTTTTCATTCTGTGCAAATGTAAACAGTACTATTCTTATTGCAATCAGAATTTATGCATTTGCTTTGCCTAGACATTTAATTTAAACTGCTGTACAAGTCTGTTTTCCAGTAAGACTGATACAAATTCCTGTGTGACAGGTAAACTCTGTATGGTAAAAGCAAGGTAACATTTACTGCATGAGTGTATTGAAGCTCCTTATGTGGAATTTAAGTCCTGTTCTGGGTTTATTTATTAGTAGTGTTTCAGTGACTGTGATATTAATGCTGGAATGTTAGAAATACAGGATCTGATGGATTCTTGTGTTCCATAGAATTGTGGCATGTCAATATATGAAGAGACAGCCACTTGTTAAACTGTTCTTATAAATCTTTATTATAGTTGCACAGTATACACAGACAGTCTTGAAGAACTGAAGGTCATTGGCTGAAGACTAATAATATGACAACAATAATGAACACTTCAACACCTTGAACATTATACTGAAATGCAGCTTTGAACTGGAACTCCCAAAACTCCCACTTGGTGTATGTTCTTATATAACCTTGAGTTGGATCTATAGAAATGGGTGGTAGGACTACTCACAGGACACTGTCACCTCAAAGGACACCTCTTCAGATTGGAAATATTATTTTTTTTATTGCTAGTGGTGTGGGGCTAAGTCCCTTGTACTGCAGCCACTTCTGGCCTATTGTACCAGCCCCAGATAGGTGAGGGTGATTGTGGAGCAATTGGTGGGATGAAGATTGGCAGGGGAAACCGAAGTACTCAGAGAAAACCTGCCCCAGCACCACTTTGTCCACCACAAATCCCACTTGACCAGACCTTGGGATCGAACCTGGGCTGCCACTGTGGGAAGCCAACAACTAACCGCTTGAGCTATGGCATGGCCAAATTGGAACTAAGTAACAGTCCAACTTGTGAGAGGTGTCAAGAAGAAAATAAAACAGCCACACATATCCTGTGCGAATGTGAGGCCATAGCTTATATAAGATTGTGCCACATGGGTCAGTATTTTATGGAACCAAGTAACTATTTCAATGTCCACACTTACACAATTCTACGTCCTACACTTCCTTCGAAGTGCAGGATTGCTGAGGGGATAATCAGAAGGGGAGGCACAGTGGATCACTGTGGTCACGGTGCAAGGGCCAAGAAGGCCCACCCCTTATACATTCATTCATTCGTCTATAGAAAACATGTCACTGTCCGTATTGTTGTAGGCTTTGCCTAGCACTGGCTGTTCACTCAGCCATTGCTAGGCAGTAAATGGTTCCTTGTGATTGGCTAGCACTGGTTCCACTGTGGGTCGTTCCCACAGTCACATATTCAATCCTGTATTATTATCTCCAGCCTGTTCTTCAGTTTCTTTGTAAAACTGTTGCTATATTTAATGTATGTATAGAACACACTACTTAAATATTTAATTTGTAATGCTTGCCATTTATTGTTTGAAAATTGTGTGTAATTGATTGGCGTACTTTGACAAAATCCATCCATTTAAGTGATATTACAGTATATTCCCAGTTATCTGTATGCATATTATCCAGTTTTCTGCTAATCTATATGCCTTTTCTTAGGTGTGTTTACAATCATGCAGAGTGCCCATTAAATTCATTCAGTCCACCTATCTGCCTGTATACATGAAACAACAGGAACACTGCTGACAAATTTTTATGAAACTTGATATTAGAGAATTTTATGAAAATTTGTGTACCCATTTCAGTTTTAATTTAGATTGGACAATTTGATGACTAGTATATTTGAAGACCAATATGTGTTTCTGCATGTACCTTAAGAATAACTCACTAAATATTCATTGGAAGAAAGGAAATATTTTGAACAGAAGTTGTAGAGAAAATTGAAACATATTTTATATTCAGTACACTTTTCCTGGTGGTTTTGCAGTTAGTGTGCATACACTTCATAAGTTCTATAATATATCTTGGATCAACTACATTTTTCAGTTATGTTGATGCACTTTTTTTCCTTTCATTGATATGGATAATTGGGAGTATACTGTACTTTAACAGGTATTAAGTTGCAGTAAACGAAACTACAGTTACCTTATTTGGCAGCAATTTTAATAAATCTACAATTATACTTCATCTGATGTCATTAATTCCTTATGCATAGGCACAGAAAACGTTGCAAAGAGTTGTTAAATACACAGGAACAGTCTTATAAATGGTAGATGGGCAAAGTTCAGACCACAGAAACCAATTTCTGGCTGACTTACTGAAATCTTCGTGGGACTAGATGATCATGAAATTACAGCTGCCACGTCATGGAGAAGGGTTCTGTAACTTTTGGTTATTGATGATTTGAATATGAAGATTTTATGTAATGTTAACAGTGACAGTTGGTTATAATGTATTAACCTTTGACATCCTAAGTGTACTGATCGGTACACTGATGACTATGGTCATCGTAGCCAAAGTACCCCGATTTGTGCATTCAGGAAGGTTGCACACATGCTGCTAGTAGAAGCATATGCACAATCCTAAATATTTATTTTTAAATATAGTAAAATTCAATATACATAATTTTTTTTTTGTTATCTGCTCAACATATATACAGGCTTCAACCACTGATTCATGTAACTGGATCTCACCTTTGTATAATACTCCTTGAAGCACCCGAGAAAGCACAGTCCCACATCATATATTTTGCATTTCAACTGCCTTTCAATTTCAACATCTTCCAAACAACATTTCACTGCCGTTGGGAACATTCCCGCAGCGTCTAGCAGACAGTCGTCACCTCTTTCAGACAGTGCCAAACAGGCAGCTGTAACCAGAGCGACGCAGTATTTATACACACTCTGGCTACTCGAGCTTATATACTAGCTGCAAAGCTGCACACATATTTATAACCTCACCTATGGCCCCACCTTTCCGTACACAGCCAGTGGATACGCGCCGTGACAACTGCAACGTTAGCTCCACCTCCTGGCCAGCAGTATTTAAGACCAGGAGCCAACGATACGAGCAGTTCATCCCAAGACAGCAGCTCAGTCAGAGGCTCTTTACGGCGACCAGGCAACTGATGTAGTAGCCGCAAGCCTCCAGCGACCAGGCAACCGAAGTATTAGCCGCAAGTCTCCAGCGACCAGTCAACGAATGTAGCTGCTGCAACTCCAACCGGCCAAGGCAGCACTACATCACTGTCCCAACAGGCCATCTGGACAGCTGTAAGACTCCGCCTACTACGAAGGAGCAAAATCTGGCACACTCGCAGTGGAACGAACAGTGAGGGCGAATCAGTGAGAATAGACAAATAGCAAGCGCATGTGGTGAACATTTATAACGACTCCACAGTATGATAAAATTAAACTACAATATTCAAATTCACTATGAACTCACAGAAAACTCAATTCACTTTGTATTTCAGTTGTGATGTAAGCATTGGGTTGCAACCATAGAAAGGGCAATATTCTCTTGCAGCTGTGATGGCCAGGCTTAGCACTGAAGTAGAGGACAATGAATATTTCCTCCAGCCTTTCTTGAAAGACCCTGTTGTCACTTTTCTGTATTTTAGTCAAAAGACTGGAATATCTGAAGTGTGTAACACAGATGTGAAACTTGCCGTCAGAGAACCAAATGACTTTATTGCTTTCAACTGTTTTCATGGCACCAGAGAATGTGAAAATATTTCAAGTGTTACAAGCAGAAATGATTTTATAATGCAGAAGTACTATGTGAAGAAAGGGAAAAATATTTTTACGGTATGCATCAAAATTACAAGAAAACATTAAAAATAGTTTATAACTTTTGGTGTACGTATTTTCAAATCTTACGTTATAATATCAGGCACTATGTTGTTTGCTGATAAAAACAAAGTTAATTCCATTCATTTATCATAAAAATTATATTAGATACAGCATTTTCAAATACAGTGCAAGCACCCAAACAGGAACGGGCATTTAAATGCATAGCAACAATGTTCATTTATACGCATGCCAGCAGCAGGCATTTAAATAAACTCGCGCCAGCTCAGACTGCCACAATTTCAAAAGTCTGGCGTTTAAAGGTTAATAATATTATGAAATGACAACCAACTGGCATGTAAGCATACATTGAAATTTTGTAGTTTTTATTTATCTTATATTCAAATTTTGTGTTAATAAAATTAAATAGTGAGGCAGTATATTAATCTGTTAAAATTTTCTGTGAATTTTGCTATAACACAAAAGACTTAAGTGGAAAGCATAATAAGTGAGAAGGCCTCCACGGCCTATTACAGGGATAGCTTTACCCTTTCACAATCAACAAAACCATGGTCTCCTGATTACACACAAAACTTGAATTTTTTTATGAGTATCTTTTCCCCATTCATTAGCCTGGATAATTCTTTGGAGTTTACTGTAGTGCTGAAATATATTATTTGTAACAGAAACAGTTTGTGGAGATTTCACTATATAATAATACAGTGAATGATATGTGTGGTCATTTTTCATTGTACTTGGGAGCTAATGAAGTCCACTCTGTGGACTAGGATTCTTATGCTGTTTTGGTTTCTTGCTCTGCATTTCAGTAAGAATTTGAACAGCACCAGAGTGGATTTCTTTGTTTTCAGTTTACATGAAATAAAGATTGCATAGGTATGCAAGAATAACGATACAAAGACTTTCGTTTTCTGAAGATCACGCTCTCCTGGGACATGATGCTGTGGTCAGTATTTGAGAGTAACCTGGTGCCTTGATCTCCAGAGTAGAAGAGTAAGCTACATGTTTAAAAAGGACAAGGACTAAGAGTGAACCCATGTTAAAGGTGAATGGGATTGTATGGCACTGAAAAGGTTGTTCTTTTTTCCTGTTGCTCCCACTGATTCATGCTTACAGCTCCAGCTTTTGTCCTTTTGCCCTTATATCAGTGAATGCTTCTTCCTCTTGCAGCGGGTTCCTCACCTTCGAAAATACTTGTATCTGACTGTATGGCGTTATATTCCAGAAAACACTAACCTTAATAAAGAATAATATCTTCTGGGATATAGCGCCGTGTAGTCTATTGGAAGTGAACCATTCGTTTTGGAGGAACATATTGCCTCCATCTTCTGTGTGTTGAAGAATTAGCTGAGCAAAAAAACCAGCGCGAAAGCAGGTAGCAGAGCTGTGAAATGTCAGTTGACTTTCAATGAACTGCATGGTATTATATTCCAGAAGATAGTACTATTCATAAACACCGCTGTGAGAACTTCAAATCCATGATAGCCTTAATAGTCACCACCTGAGAACTGCAAGCCACAAGGTTGGTGCCTGTTGGTTAACATCCTGCTTCTCTGTCCATCCAGTTACAGCTTCATATTCTACACACTACTAGTGTGAGCACTGTATAAAGAGTTACCCAGCAACAGAAGGCACAGAAATTCGCTCCTACTTCAGAGTTTGAAGGTAGTACATCTCCTAGACCGTATGACCAACTGGCAACATGTGAACCGTCTGAGAGACATGGAGTAGCTGAGTGGGAGAAGATGAAAACTGGTTTGTACATTGCTGCAGAGACTTCTGAATCCTGCTTATACCAATTTCCTTTTTCCAATCGCAGTACATATGAGTATACTTAGCATACATGAAAACAGCAAAGAGTTGCTACACAGCATAGTATACACACAAGATGCATGCAAACAGCAATACTGGTACATTCAAGTAACAACAAATTACCTCAGAGCCTACAAAAGAGTCCAATATCTATACAGCAACATATAATGCAATACTACATAATTTACATCTATATTAAAAGAGCACAAAATCTCACGGGTCATATATATCTATGTTTATTTCCCTGATATAGGTGTTAAAGGTATTTCACATCCTACTGACGAGAATAACACGGTAGTGTAGTTGGTTGAGGCACTATGCTACAAGCCAGAAGGTCACGGGTTCAAGTCCTGATGAGGTCGTTGGATTTTTTTCAATTGACCTAATCCTTCCAGCCGCACTATGGCCCTGGGGTTGACTCAGCCTCTAACAGAAATGTATACCAGGAATATTCTTGGAATATTCTTGGGGTTAAAGGGTGACCTGCGCGTAGGGCTGACAAACTTGCCATCTATGAGCCATTTGTCTAGAAAATGTGGGAACCTCAACATCTCACAACCCTATGGGCCTCCATGGCCTGTTACAGGGATACCTTTACTTTAATTTCTTTTTTTTACTTTACCGACAAGAATAAAACAATTAACTCCCCTAGAAACCTGCAGTTCATCCAAACAACATTTACAAATTCAGACACTACTTCAGAGAAAACACTGTCTCTCCATGACACCCATCAATCAGTTAATGCTGTTTAAGGAAATAACATACTATGAGAGTCATACAAATACACAAAACATAATGTGGGTTTATATTCATTCTTAGGCCCAGGATAGCTCAAAAAGGATAGCAACAAGCTACAGGCTGGCTGGGGTTTGACTCTTAACAGGAGCAAGAGATATTCTTTTCTCTGTAGCATTCACACTGGCTCTGGGACCCACCTAGCCTCATATTCACTAGGGACCAGGGTCTCTTTCACCCAGGGTAAATTGGCCAGGCCATGAAACTGATCACTCATGTCTATCTAGTGCCAAGGTCCAGAATGATGGAGCTGTACTTTCATTTCTCCAGTGATACTCAATTCGCGAGTGGGAAAATGTAGCAGTACAGAATGGTGGCCTCGGGCATCTGGTTGTGAAACTGGCAAGGTAAAGTTTTCCCGGTTTTTACTGTGCCAAATTAAGTACACCTTGCAGACTTATGGGGGAATGGATGTATAGTTTTACCACTAGGAATGTAAGTGTACAATATTCAGTGTGATGCCGTTTATGTATTTGGAGATAGAGCCTCCCAAACCCAACCATTGTGTTGCAAACACAGTGCATTTTTTTGGAACTAAGCACAATGTATGTAATTTCGAAAATGACCGCCATGATTACATTGCCACTTGCCGCAACGCTCAGGAACACCAATAGTCACAAAGGCCACCCGGGCTCGAACCCGGGCCGCAACGGTGGGAAGCCAGAGATTCCCACCACGGCGGTTCGGGTCCCAGCGCCGCTTTGTCCAAGTCGGTCCAAGTGGTCAAGTGGAATTTGTGGGGGCAGAGTGGCGCTGGGCCGGGTTTCCTCCGAGTACTTTGGTTTCCCCTGCCAATCTTCATTCCTCCAAATTCTGCATCATAATCACCCGGGGCATGCTACAATAGGCCAATCAGTGGCCGCCGTGCCGAGTGGACCCAGTTGGCCTCCACCCCCCACTAAGCGAAGTTAATTTTTAATTTTTAATCGATTTTTCAACAGTCGGGAAGATCGGGAATGTTGGTAGCACTCGGCAACCGTGTCGATCGGTGCCGATAATGACTCACAAGCATGATGGAGGATTTTGGCTAAGATGTTGTGAAATGTGTTGAAAAGATGTGTGATACCTTCTCTTTCATATTAGAAGTTACCGGATCGAATTGTGTAAATATTTCGTATTGTACATATATAGTTATGTATAGTTATACCAGTTCGTAAAGCGTCAAGGTTGTAAGGTTTGCCAGCTTTAAAGAAGGTATGTGAGAATGGCGTTTGCTAGTGTATCTTCTCTGTTAAAAGCACCGACAATGTTAGAACAATTATTAGAGGAAATAAACTTCCAGAGGACTAAGGAAATGCGTCAGCTGTTAAAGGATGGTGAGTGCTGCTTTATTTATTGGAATTGAATTTATGTTACGAAGTTGAATGTGGTTTGTATATGACTGATTAACTGTTCGTGCGGCAAAGTTTGAGAGGGCGCAGTTGCACAAGCAATACACCATCTGTTTTGTTTTGATAAACTCTGTTACCTAACACGTCTGGTATCGAGAAATTTACTCTTCATAATTTTCGTTCTATTGAAATTAATTTTTAAAATGAATGTTGTTTATTTCAGATTCTGGTTTCGTGATGCTGCAAGGAACTACATATTGGACCGATTTGTTTGTGAGACATTTCCTCTTCCAAACAGAACATTGTATTGATTGTGACGACTTACTGTTTTTTGTCCGAAAGCGGCACATCAAAGGTTCATCTCGTTATCTTCCTAAATTTGAGGTAAATCACAATATAATTGTACCAGGCAGGTATCAGTAATACTCATGACTTTAATGAGGAAGGTACCTGGTTCGAATCTTGTCCGGGTTGTAGCCATCCCAGTGAAATTCTTTATGGTTCTGATTTCTCAAAGCAGCAGCTGATCTAATACCTTATAGGCCATAACACTTTCTTTAGATTTTAGACCAGAATTTGTATTCTCTGACCCAATTTCCATCTGTGGTCATGGTTATGAGAATAACAGTAAATTGTCAGTATAATGAAAACCTATGAGTATGAGAGGTGAGCCATGAAAACCAGCCCTAGCACCGCAACCTTCTGTGATCTATTCTGCTTCCATTTGGATTAACCCTTTATTAATCCTACACTTCGAATGAAATGTAGCACTTTAGTTATGGGGACGTCATAAAAGTCACTTGGTTCCATGAAGAACTGACCCAAGTGACAAAATCTTTAAGTAAGCTATAGCCTCACAATCACATAAGATGTGTGTGGCTGATTCATCTTTTTGTAGGCATTTTTCACAGTTTGAGTTGTCTGTCAGTCCCAGTTTGAAAAGGTGCCCTTTTAAGTGGCAGTGTCCGGTAAGTAATCCTACCACCCATCTTAGTTGATCTCTGTTTAATTTTAACAGGTCCCTCGTTCTTTTGGCAGAGTGTCCTGATATAAATCCTTTTACCTGTTTGAGTCCAGTTGTTGATTCCCAGTGTTTTTTGTGATTTCTGTTAGTCCAGTCCCTGATTGCTTTTTTGGCAACTCCATCTGAGATGCACAGGCTGGTTCAGATCCTGTTCTTGCCAGCTGATCTGCAGTTTCATTCCCAGCAACACCCTCATGGCCTGGCACCCATATCAGCCGAACTCTGTTATGTCTGGCCAGTTGTATGAGGGATTGGTGGCAGTTCCAGACCAATTTTGAAGTGATTTGGTGTGTACGAAGTGCTTTGATTGCAGCGTGACTATCTGATAGAATATAGATATTAATATTTTTGTAGTTTCTCTCTTAAATTTTCAACTGTGCATGCCTTAATGGCATACACTTCTGCCTGGAATACTGTTGTATACTGACCAAGGTTGAAACTACGTTTCTGCCCTGTTCCATCACAGTACACTCCAGCTCCAGTGCCTTTATTTGTCTTGGAACCATTTGTATACCAGATTAGTCACCCTTTTTTATCAGGTTGAAACCTCTCTTTCCATTCCCTTCTATCAGGAAATCTGATCATGAAGGGTTTATCATAGACATATTTCAGTATCATTTTATCAGATCCCGTCTGTAGGATGGGTTCCTTTTTCATGTCCTGAATCATGTATGCGTTGTCCAAATCCATTGGATTTAGGTCTCCATTGATCATTGCAACGTAATCTGTAATTTCCTAACTTGGCCTCTGCTTCCATCTGCAGATGCAGTGGGGGGAGTCCTGGTAGGATTTCCGTTTCAGCTGTTGGAGCTGTTCTCATTGCTCCCATAATTCCCAAGCAAGCTGTCCTTTGCAGTTTGCTTAGTTCAGCCTGACTTGTTTTAAGTTTAACTGTAGGCCACCATATGGTGGCAGCTTAGGTAATTAGGGGTCTTACTACAGCAGTGTATATCCAATATACCACCTTTAGTTTCAGTCCCCAGGTTTTTCCAAATGTGTGTCTGCATGTCCAGAAGGCACAACTTCTAGACCTTGTTAATAGCCTTGTCCAGCTGTTTTTTCCATGTCAGTCCCTTGTATAATGTTATTCCAAGGTACTTGACTTCACTGGATTGCCCGATCACTTGACTGAAGAGGATTGGTTCCTTAAGCCCCTTGATATCCCTCCTCCTAGTAAAGGGTATAATTACCATCTTGTTTTGATTGATAGGCAAGTTTGTTCTTTTGCACCACTGTTGAACTGTGTGCAGGGCTTTTTGTAAGACCTCTGACACAGTATAAGGGAATTTCCCATCGATTAGGATTGCTATATCATCAGCATATACTACTGTGAAATGACCTTTATGGTTGAGCTCCCAAAGAAGATCATCCACGACCAGGCTCCACAGCAGAGAGGAGAGAACAGCTCCCTGCGGACACCCTCTTGCCACAGACCCTCTCAGAGTCTCACCAGACAATGTAGCCCTTATATTCCTGCTTTCCAGCATAGCACAGAACCATCTGCCTATTGTGGGCTCAATGCCATGCTTTTCAGCAGCCTGTTTTATTGTGTCAAAAGAGGTTCTATCAAAGGCTCCCTCTATGTCAAGGAATGCTTCAAGGGCAATATCCTTGTGTTCGATGGCATTTTCTATGTGTATAACCACATTATGCAGTGTAGTTTCGGTAAATATACCTATTTGGTAAGCATGTTGGTTTTGGTGCAGAGAATAATCTTCAATACACCGTCCCTAATGTATCTATCTACTGTGTTCTCCATCATTTTCAAAAGGAAAGACAACAGGCTGATAGGACAATAAGCCTTAGCCACGGTATAATGAAGTTTCCTNAAAGACAACAGGCTGATAGGACAATAAGCCTTAGCCTCGGTATAATGAAGTTTCCCGGGCTTTTGTATAAATGTCACTTTAACTTTCCTCCAGGCCATAGGGATAAACCCATGTGCCATGCCGGCTCTGAATATGCGGCATAGGTGTGGGACTAAATGTTCCACCCCCCTGCTGCAGAAGTGCTGGTATAATTCTGTCTGTTCCCATAGACTTAAATGGTTTGAAGGTACCTAATGCCCATCAAATTTTTTGATTGATTGATTACCCAACTGGCCAGGTTCCAGTCTCCCCTGGTCATTATGTGTTCACATACACCCAGGTTCTGCTGGACCCAGTCATAACCTGAATCATCAATCAGCACTGAATCAGGAAAGTGAACAGTTCTTTTAGTGTCTCTTTCCCATAATGACAATCTAACTAAACTGCATGGAGCTGAGCCCTTCATTGGAAGCCACCGATTGTGCAGCTACTCAAGAAATTCCCAACATTTTATGGAACCCTAAGTTCCATTATCATATTCACAAGAGCCCTTCACTGGCCCCTATCCTGAATGAGATCAGTCCAGTTCATACCACATCATCCCATATCTCTACAATTCTTTTTAATATTACCCACCCACCAGTATCTTGGTCTTCTTAGTGTCCTCTTTGTGTCTGGCTTTCGCACAAATATCCTATATGCATTCATAGTTTCCCGAATTCGTGCTACATGCCCTGCCCATCTCATCCACCTTTATTACATCATTCTAATTATACTTGGCAAAGAGTATAAGTTATGAAGCTTCTCATTGTGGACTTTTCTCCAATCTCTTGTCACTTCACCTCTCTTCAGTCCAGATATTCTCAGCAACTTGTTTTCACACAACAAAAGTCTGTGTTCCTCCCTTAATGTCAGAGACCAAGTTTCACACCCATACAGAACCACAGGCAAAATTATAGTTTTGTATATTTTTTTTTTTAATGTTTTAAGGCAGCGGACAAGCAGTCAAAGGTACTTCTTTTGGCTTATTT